GCATGTTGGTATGTGCACTGTTTCAGTAATTTTACTCAAACAGGAAACCCACTGAAATGTAGTTCACTGTCTTAAGTCACATCTTGTGCTTTAATAAACTAAAAACATATGTGCACAAAACATGATCATTATTTTATCTCTAGAGCTATGTTCTACAGGCAACATTTTACCTCCGTTAAGAAGGTGTTGCATTAATTTTAAGCATGAGAACTTAGGTGCATTCTGTGCACATTTTCTAGTTAATATTTCTCAAAAACAATGGTAATGCTATTTTAATTTTCATATCTATTTTTAGTATATTTTTATTTTGCTCTGTATAATTCTTCAGGATAGCTCTTGTAGCGTTAATCCTTATAATGGTGGAAGAGATCGTAGCTAGAGGCTTTCACAAGTTCCTGTGTCTTCAGCTTCTCAGCCTTCTGATCTTCATGGAGATCTATTTGAACTCCTACATTGTATTTTTGTACTAATAGTTGCATATCATTGCCATCAAATTCAGAATCAGAAAGTGTGCTTTGCTGTGTTGTTATAGGGGCTGCTGTATCTTGTGCGGGACTTTGATCTTGCTTGTTTGATTTTTGTGACATTGTTTTGGCTGGACTTTATTCCTCTGAATCCTCTGTGCCAAGGCTGTGTTTCAATTAACTGTTTTGCCTTGTGCACAGCACCGCTCGTGTTTTCCTCCACTGAGATTCGACATACCACTTTAATTTCCACCAGGTCTTTGCTGGTCACATGTAAAGGCTGTGTTTCAAATGTCCAGTGTGCTATTCTGACATGCCTCTTTCCAGTGTCTTCCCTATGGACGGCTTCATTCTCCAGTCTTTGACCAAAGTTGTCTCTGGTAACAGACAACGGCTGAGGTTCAAAATATTGTATGCTTCTCTTCACATTTCCTTTAAGCTCTTTCAGCTCAGGCCTCAGCTGCAACAAGTTAAGGACATCCACTGGGTTGAACTGCCCAAGTTTATCCAGGTTCTGTGCTTTCAGCACGTGCCTCAGAGTCTTTAAAGAACCGATAGAAACTTCTTGGGTGCGAGTTTCATCTGGTGTTTGTTCCTCATCATGATAATTTTTATCCTTAGAGTCCAGCGGCTGCATTTCAAATATCCACATGACTCTCTGAACATCTCCTCTAACCAACGTGAGAGCCTTATCCACAGTTCCTGCAGAGCCTGGAGCATGTCCACGCAGTGCATCAAGAGGCTGTGTCTGAAACATCCAGACTGTGTATCCAACATTTCCACCTGCAATGGTTTCCTGGTCTGCAATGCTTCTAGCTTTGTCTGGGTCTGGAGGGTCATCTTAATTGGAACGAAAGGCTGGTTCTCAAAGACCCATCTTATAGAGAGGACCTCTCCACTCTGGATTTCACACCACTTTAAACATTGGTTTTTCAGTCTTGTGAACACTGAATGCAAAGCCATATCTAGCCTGCTGCACATCTGACATCACATGCTGTGTTTCAGATTCACAAGATTAAATATTGGAGGTCTCATTCAGGTAACGTTTCTCTAAGCATTTTCTTAATTTTGGGTGGAAATGTTTGTATAAACATCTTAGTTCACATAAATTGCTTTGCTTTGGGTACAGATCTGTGGAGACAGTGGGCTTTGTTGGAGAGCTGGACGATTCAGTGTGCTGGGAAGCTGCTGTCATTTCCAATGGAGCTTTCTCATAAGTAGTGGAAAACTTTTCTGTGCTTCCATATTCATGGGATTTGGAGCTAATCATTGCAGAATTAGCAGTTCTGGCCTGTTTCTTCCTTGTTGTAGAAGTTCCCTGTAGGCTGCTTGCTTGAGTATTAGCAGTAGCAGATGAACTAACTGTTTAAGGCAATGTAATTTTCTGGTACATATTTTCCATCTTTAGGGAACAAAAGTGGTTGTGTTTTTTTTAAAGTATAGTAACGTATAAGACAATTTTTCTGTATGTTACAAAAGCTAGTTCTGCAAGGATCCAAGCAATAGGATAATAATAAGATCTGGAAAGACACAATCCATCGGCTATTGCTCAGAATGCATAAAACCAATCTTTTGAATTAAGATCTGTGCTATTTGCACCATAGAAGAGGTGTGAAAAGAAATGTGGAATTCATACAAAATGCAAAATTATGATTGAGCGGTCTTGAGTTTTTGCTGCAACAAGTGCAGACTTTGCATTATAAGCATAATGTAAAATTATGCTGTGGCTTATGCTAATTTTAATTTCTTCTGAAAGTGACACTTTCTATGCTTCTGAGAGTGACACTTTCTATGCTTCTGAGAATCTGTGGTGACAGAAAGTATACATATTTACAGATTCAGGATATTTCAGATACAGGAAAGAGACTGTTGAGCAGAGGACAGAAATGCAAAAGTTTTTATAAAGGTCTACTTTTAATTGTTTGTCACATACTGCAAGTACTTGTTGAGCCTTCTAACGTACTTTGTATTATGTTATGTGCACTTCATTTCTAAAGTCCATATATTCCCACCACTTTCATACATTTTTAATCACAATTAGTCAAAATAGAAATTCAGACTGCATGATGGACCAATGTCTTAACTTCGCTACTTCTGATTTCCATAAAGGAAGATCCCTCTTATTAAAAGCACAGACCTTTACTTCTTTTGCAGGTGTTGCAGTCTCTCTGTCAGAGTGAACAGCACTTTCCTGAGCTGTCCTTTCAATCTGCTGTTTTAAAATCTGTGTTACAGTCTTTGGGAGCTCTTCATTCTGGGCTGCATTGATTACTGCAGTGGGAAGAAGAATAAAAAAGATCATTTTTCCTTCACTCTCCATTGTATGAAATTGACTTTATCAGTGAATTATAAAACATTATTACATTAGAAAAGTTGTATTTAGCCTTACAGATGTCTAGAGGGTCACTTGATCGTGAACAGAAATCCGTAGAGAAGATGACAGAATAGTTGTTGAGGGACGTGTTGTCACCTACTGTTTTGCTGTACCCGAGTAGTGTGACAGAGCTAAAGGTTGACTGGGGTCTGTGAGAGAATATAATGCATGAATTCTAATACCAGGACTAAACTGCAGCAGCAGCAGTGGTCATATTCTGCAGGGCTATTCAGTGCAGCTACAAACTGAACCTTTCTCATCCACAATTTGTATATACATGGGCTCGTGTTTGCCTGTGTTTTCAGACAATTCTTCAAGACCCCAGTTCTTTCAAGCAATTGAGTGCATATTTAAAACCACCTCATGCAAAAGCCATCCCTCTGTACCAAATTCTAAACTCATTTCTTAAGTCCCATTGAATTTAAAGAATATGCTTTGCTGATAATTCGGAGTGATGTGCATTTTCATGTTTGTTTGCTAGGAGCAGCATATTTGTGTGAGTAGAGACATTTGCCATTGCTCATTTGTGAGCCTTTATTCTCAGGCCACTTCTTACCTGTTTCATCAGTGTGCTGAGTGAATGTAGAAGCCATTTTTATCTCATGAGTAACTTGCTCACGATGAGAAACCTGTGCACAAGACCTTCACTTTATTACAGGATTTAGTGCAATATGTAAGAATTTTCCATACTTCTGCAACTGTATTAAAAATGTTACATCAAAGCAAAATATGAATGGAAATCTAATTAATTATCACATTAAAACAATCATAAATTAAAACACCTTAAAAAAATATTATGCGCTGCCTAATGAGGGAGGCTATCAGCAGAACATCCAGATCTTCCTGTACCAAGTAGTAAAGGAGGAAGCAGCAAAGCAGATAGGTATCAGCATCAGTATAATTGTCCAATGACATGATTATTAATAGATAGAGTTACCTCTTGTCTTTGAGAGGCTTCCATTTGACTTTCTTTGGAGGTCACTTCATTGCACTCAGCTTCTCTGGTGCTGCTTGATACTGTGTGCTGGCTGCTATTTGATGTTTCCTAAAGACAAAAATAATCGCACATTAACAGCTAATAGTAAACTGTTTTTTTCTTTTTATTTTTCTTTTCCTGTGAAGGTCTTTCACAAATAAATTTTAATGTAAGTGGTGTAACTAGAACTGCCATTTTACAGCAGAGTACTGTTGTTGCTATTATTGATATTTGTTGCCATAAAAATTGTAACAGGCTTTTTTATAACACAGAAAATGTGAAGTCATTTCTGCTACTACAGCCAGACTTTGACCAGCAGATACAGAAAGCTGGAAAGGGGCAAAGGTGACTAGGAAGACTGGTTCTGGCTTTATGTGCTGTGCCATTAACTCGCTACCTATGAGCTGGCATGAGGCTAATTCAACTTTCTAAAAGGAAGAATAACAGTATGTCTATGCAAGAGATGCTGTCTTCCTGCATATGCTTTATCCAGCTCTTCCAATGCAAAATCATGCTGAATTGCAGTTGTGAAAAATATGACCCATAGGCTAACCAGAAGATCCTATAAAATATACAGGCTAGCATTGTGTCTACAAGTCTGACAACTGCAGTGTAATAAATGGAGCATATTGCTGAGAGTTTAAAGCGCTGTCCAAGATGTCCATGTAAACTAATTTCTGAGGTTATCTATGTTTAGTTTGACTCCAGATTCTGGCAATAATTTGTTTTCTTATTTAATGCCTATCACAGAACGTGTGTTACATCACATTACCTGTGTCCATGGAGTACTTTGAGATTAGAAGAAATAAATCCTAAGCAGTTCTGTGCTTCCTCTGTCTTGCTCACTAGCGTGCACGCAGAGACATCTAACAAATAATTTCACTCATGTCAAATTACATTTTCTTCTTCCTTTGTGAGAATGAAGCTTACCTATTAGTTTTTACTGATAATAAGCTTTCGAATGAAAGGAGCTTCTGGTCCCTCCAGCAAGAGCTTCCCAAGTGTTGAATGTAACGTGAATATGAATGGAGGCAGCACTGTGTTTCAGAGGTTGCTGCTGTACATCTAGTGCAACAGAGAGCTGTAAGCTTCCTGCATTTCAAATCCTGGCACCTCCTTGAAATCCAGCTAATTGTGAGGCAAGAAATTAGCTCTCTCCCTTAGTCATCCCATGAAAAAGCATATATTTATGGGATTTATTCCACCTTCAAACTAAGGAATGCTTGCTCTGCTTGCTCTCCACTAAGATTTCTGCTGAATCAATATAGGTGAGCATCCATTGCCTGGCCCATAGTTTCTGACATACAGTAGGCAGCAAGGGCTCTTAGGTTCTATGGCAGAGAAACAACGAGCATTCCCTTCATGGGCTGCAAAATCATCTGTTTCAACTATAAGATGAATTAAAATCAGATGAACAAAAGGTAGAATAAATTTTCTGATTACTGGCCCAATAAATGATTTAGTGCATTACCAGTATAAAAATTAATCCTATCTACTGCAAAGTTTGAAATGTCAAAGTGAGGTGAGGCTTGAGGAAAGCAAGTAAGAGTGTGCTTACACTCACAAGTTCTTTATGAGTAACAGTTGTGAGGGAGCTGCACAACATGAGGAGCCATGGAGCTAACCCCATACCAAGTTGAAAAGCAGCACTTCAAAGAAAATGAAGTGTAAATTTTTCCATCTATTCTCTGTTTAATGACTATGTGTAGGTGTATGTATAATACGCTTTTTCGTTTTATATGGATATGCTTTTCAATATATTTATGCATATATATGCTTTTTTTCATTTAAGCTATGCTTTTCTGTTCTAATGTGCATGTTTTAGATATGTAAGTCAAGCTCTCATTACTGGAAAAGCTCGTTCATGAGACACGAAATATGTTCATGATAGTTATTATGTGTCCTTTGAATGGTGTGGGATATTAAAATAGGAATATAATTAGGCTTAATGTAGTCAGGAAGCAAATCTAATCTGAATGTCACTACTGCTTTATTGCTGTAACTTTGGTACTGCTTATGAAGTAGTTGCCATATTGCAAAAGATTATAATTGTTTAATGCGACAGCTATGGCTGTCTAAAATGCAGCCTAAACATTATGGGCCAGATTTTGACAATATAATTACACAGCCTTGCTCTGGGCATGCAGGGAGGAAGAGGGACTTGGGGGTTCTCATATATTGTGTATCTGTCAAGATAGCTGATTGAAATTCCAGTGACAGAGGGTAGAACGCTGCTTGTTTATTATTTGAAACAAGTGGAGAACAGGAAGACCTGTGGTGTCATCCCTCCTCTATAATGGCCAAATGTTGGATATAGGATAGGATATCCTGTAGGTAGGATTAATTTAGTCTACCCCATTAGAGTTTGTGGCATGTTTTGTAGACCCCATAGATTTTGGAGAATATTCTGTAGAATTACTTGATGGTCTGCATGGGATAAGGTTGCTCTTACCTTATTAAGAAGGATAAGTCATGCCTCAAATACAGGACAGTGGCTGAAGATCATGATCTTGATTTAATACTAGTTAAGGGTTATTCTTGTGGGAACTTGATCCCTTTATTTGTTCCTGTGGATTACACAATTCCTGCCATACTGTGCATTATTAAATCAGGCGAGGTTATTTAATCAACCAGATCCCGCATCGCAGTGTCAAGAGGGAATAGCTCCCCTCCAGCTGTGCAGGGGAGGAGGACAGAGAACTGAATGTCATTTTTGGTGGCAGGAGTGAAAAGACAACTATTATGGTTGCTTTTCCCGTGGCCGAAGAATCACCTTTCAAATATTTTTTGTTTGTTCTATGCCATATCATAAGTGAGCTTCAGAAAACACTGTCAGCTGATCGAGGCAATCCCAAGCACAGATACAGGCTGGGTGATAGGGGGATTGAGAGCAGTCCTGCAGAGAAGGACTTGGGGGTACTGATGGATGAAAAACTGAATATGAGCCGGCAATGTGTGCTTGCAGCTGATTTCGATGTAGCCAAATTTGATGCAGCCAATTGCATCCTGGGCTGCATCAAAAGCAGCGTGGCAAGCAGGTCGAGGGAGGTGATTCTCCCCCTCTGCCCCCGTGAGCCCCCCCCTGCAGTACTGCATCCAGCTCTGGGGGCCCCCAACACAAGAAAGACACGGAGCTGTTGGAGCGAGTCCAGATGAGGGCTACCAAGATGGTCAGAGGGTTGGAACACCCTTCCTATGAGGACAGGCTGAGAGAGCTGGGCTTGTTCAGCCTGGAAAAGAGAAGGCTCTGGGCAGACCTTCTAGCGGCCTTCCAGTACCTGAAGGGGACCTACGGGAAAGGTAGGGAGGGACTTTTTACAAGGGCCTGCAGTGATAGGACGAGGGGTTATGGTTGGAAGCTGGGAGAGGGCAGGTTCAGGCTAGATACAAGGGACAAGTTCTTCACCCTGAGGGTGGTGACACACTGGCACAGGTTGCCTAAGGAAGCTGTGGATGCTCCATCCCTGGAAGTGCTCAAGACGAGGCTGGATGGATCCTTGAGCAACCTGGTCTGGTGGGAAGTGCCCCTGCCATGGCAGGCGGGGTTGAAACTGGACGATCTTTGAGGACCCTTCCAACTCAAACCATTCTATGATTCTATGATTTTTGGCATGCTGCTAGTTCATGAACAGTTTCTTACAGTAATTTTATTTTTATTTCAGACTTCCATCATCCTTGATTCTCTTCTTTTTGTTTCAGGTCACCTTTATGGGGGCTGCTGGCCTTCCCGTGAATACCTGTATAGTAGTTAATACACAGGGCTATAGTGTCCTGTTGTATCTCTGGATAATAAATCATTCTAACCTAAAACAATGCTGTTCAAAAAATAAAGCTGTAAATCTGAGAATAGGTCTGTATACATTTTGTTAGAGGAGTGCATTTTCATGTAGGCATTCAGATTCTGTTACTGAAGAGAACTGTAATCGCTACACACGTTTTATATGCTAGTGGCCCATACATCAATTTTAGTGCCTCTGCGCTGCAATAATTTAGATAGAATTCTTATTGCAAAATGTGCCAAGATTTGAATTTTCAATAAGCATTCTGTCTATTTTAGAGCAAAAAGGTTTGCTTTTTTGTGTTACCATTTTTGCAGTTTCCTTCTGTTCTGACGACAGACAAAACATAATTTCCCTTTCAGAAATAAAATTGCTTTGAGGCTCAGAATATGTATGCTATGTTATATGCATATGTACATAAAATGTATACAATTCTATGTGTGTATGTATGTATGTATTGTTCAAGGGGATCAAATGGCCCAAAAGCTTGTCCAAATACAAGAAATCCTTTTACTTGCTCACATTTGAAGCATATTTCTTTTTGTTGAACTGTACATTACGGTCATCATATAAGCTCTGTGGGAAGTTGGCAAATAAAATATTGTTCATATATTGGCAGATTTAGCGGTGTAGAAGTAAATTGTGACCCTAAAGCTTCAGTTACAAAGCAATAGAATGACTGACTGATGATTTACTTGTGGATTTTGATTTCTTCCTCAAAGCTATGCTTTTTTACCTATTTATGTTCTTATCATGGTATCATCTACACATCAGTACTGTGAGAGTCTTGCAGAGAATCCTTATAACAACTTCTCTTATCTGCACTTCATTTCTATGATTTGTCAGCCTTGCTTAATTGTATGTGTATACTTGGAGTGTTTTGGGCATTATGTGGAAGATTTTCATAAAAAAGATAAGGTTTTCACCATTCACTAACGTTGTCCCATTATTCAACCTTATCCTCTGCAATCGCTAGGAGATTGGCAATTGCTACGCTAGCAATCTTAGAAAATTTGTCTGGAATGACCCTCAGTGGAGGAGCTGTGGCTATACCTGCATCATTCCTGACACGTGATACTGTATGGTTGAGTGAATAACAGATACTTTCAATATATTCCACTCATCCTTCCTATGTAGGAGGTTCAGCTTGCTTGCCAGAAATGGCTTGTTTCTGACACTGGGTAGTGAGACTTTGTCTGAGCAGCTAGCTAGCTGAGCTGGTGTAGCAAAGCACTCCAGTCTGGCATTTGCAGAACAGTAACACTGAAGCTTATGACCTCGTCTCAGCTTGGTGGCTGATCATAAAAGGTGGTTAAAATAAAGACCGGGTCTCTAAGAAAACTCTGGTTGAGTTTGTGAGCACATGGCAATTCTGTGATCAGTTTTTGTTGCTGCTCACTATTTTGGACAAGAGTTTAGTGCATCCTGCTGGTAACATGGCACCTTTCACAAGGAACCAATCTCCCTTTCAATGAAGAGAATTGTGAGTGATGGCTGCTATCTGAGAAAAACTGAAAGATAAATAGTTATTATTTGCATATTTGATGTCAGTATTTTGAATGAAAAGCCATGCAGTCAATATGCAATAATTGAATATGTAGTAAAATGTTCAGCTATTTAGATTACTGTTAAAAAAATTAATTGCTTCCTTATTTTAGCTTGAATTAGTAGTCTGAGTTTATCCAGATCTGGAGATGTGTTTTCAAAGTACATGGTTTCTCTGTTTTGCCCCAGGATTGATTCAGTGACCTTGAATAATCTTTCAACTACCTAAGTTATAATCCCATTTTCCATAACAGTGCAGTTATGTTAGATAGAAGTGGGATTTTATGGTCTTGCAGTAAGTTATTTAACCTAAATTTAAAGATTGTTCCATGTAGTCTGAGTGATTTTATTTCCTGTGGACGTGACTATTTCTGCTGATGATTTGAGAGACCCACCTCAGCTAGACACAGAGGACAAATACATGGATCAGTATGGTTAAAGGTCACATCTTAGTTGAAGAAATGAAACCATCATAGTGGCTTTGTAGAGAACTAGATGTTAGTGTTAGGCCAGGGAAAATGCATCTTGAAATCACAGAAATAAAATTATTTGGTTCTGTGTAAGAGAAAAAGTCATGCAATTTCTGTACACAGTTCGGCATCACTTCATCCAGATAAATGGCAGCTAGGTTGGACCATATCATCAGAAAAGTATGTGCATAACGCTTCCTATTACCTATTACCTAGGATTATGCTCCTGTATGATTATGTCCAACTATGGGATTTTTCTGCTTAGTTAAAAATGCAAACTGTGTCTTCTCCCCTACAAACTGGAGTTTTGCCTGTTGTCTGTGCAAATTGTTGATACTGGTATTAATGTGTAAGAAAGGAGAGATAACTGGTAGATAAGATGATACTTATTTAACATGAAAATGAACCTGTGACAGAATGTTGATGAGTCCTGTTCTACAAAGTTGCAGAGCAATATTGCTTAAAAATTTCTCCAAAGAAGTGCAGGATGGCAAAGCAATTTACTGTGCCATTACTGTTTTTCAGAGTGCACAAGACTGATTGTGCAATGTGTTTTATTATAGGAGATTTAACATAGTCCAAAATCATTATCTCCTACAACAATTTTTCATGGTATATGCTAATGAAGTAATAAAATGTAAAGACCTTTTATCTAAAATAACACTTAGCTGCTGCTTTGTTCTACTTTTATGTAGCATCTGGGTTCTTCTGTGCAATTTTTGATCTCTTTAGGGGAGTTTATTAGATTTAATTCAATGGAAGCAGGAAACTCCTTTTGAAAGAGAATGGCTTAACAACATGTTAAATACAATAAACGCAAAATAACACCATGATACTTGCTAATGAATTACAGTCTTATAGGCAAGGTTCAGTATAAAATACTGCAATGGTGGTAATCTGCTTTACTCGTCTATTTGCTGTAAGTCTAGTATTGCCTATATTCAGTGTTTGTCTGCATCAAAAAATGTATGATTCCTGTGGTATGTCTCAGAAAGAAAATTCTTGGAGTATGAACATTAGGGAAATGTCTTAGTCATAATGAAAACTCTCCAATAAAGCAAACAATCATATTTTTTCCTCAAGCTATCTAGCAGGTCATACTTCATTTGTTAGCATTAAAAATGTTATTGTTACCTGTATAGGTTTGTGCTGGTGCTGATTCTGAGCAAAGTTCTTTTGTGAAGAGGTCTTCTGCACTTTCTCAAATTGTTTCCTCACTGCTGCCAGGCCACCATGCACAGTACAGAACTTGGTTTTCTCTGAAGTCTGGAGTGATAAAATAAGCCCAGTTGTTTTCCATTTGCAGTAAGAACATGCTTCTATGAGCTGATTTTTTTTATAAGTAGTTAATGACAGTATGCTATAAACATTTTTAAATTTCAAATGGAAAATTTTGAAACACTTGGTTACATCTGTAGTTTCTTACAGGGAACTTTTACTGACGTAATCTGTAAACCCTACTTATTTTAACAGTACACATGAACTAACATTAGCATTCAGAATAGATACAGCAATAAGACAGTTATTTTTCAGGTGTTGTCATCAACATACAAAACATGTATGTGCTATTAGCATTAATTGTTGAATCTCATTGGCCCGTTTTAGAACTTTTACTTGTCAACCAAAAATTAGGACCTGCAAATTATGAAGTTCTTTTGGAATCTTGCAATCTAGAATTTATTTAACAGTAGCTACTAAATACTCCTATGTGAAATAGATCCTGCTGGTATAGCTGCATATTCATCTCTGCCTAAACTAGTGTCTGAGGACTCAGTGGTTTCCTCTGTCGTTACAGGAATCAGCCATATATTTTCAGTCATGTAATACTCTTTCTTTGCAGGAATGACTCAGACAATCATAAATACCGTTTCTGACAAGTTCATAGACTGCTACACAGGAGCCATACATTGTGCTTTGGAGAACTGAAGGCCAATATATATTTGAAAAATGGCCTGAATCTTTAGCACCAAAAGGAGTAGGTCCCATCTACTTGATTGTCAGCAGCAACCACTTTCCAGAACAATCCTTCTCTGCTGTTCCCTCTTCTACTTGTCTATTCTGAGTTCTGTTGCATTCAGAGTTGCCACCTGACCCTGTGTATTTTTTCAGTAGGTACTGTTGAAAAACATGCAAAGAGCTTCAAGCAGGCCTTTGTGAGATGATCTTTCTTCCCTAACAGCAGTGCTGAAGGTCACAAGAGTGCCCTTACCCTAAGGCTCCCTGTTCTAGTTCTGTCCCTTATATGTTACCTCTTAGATGGTACTAGAACAAAGCTTTCAGCATTTAAGCTTATTAATCAGTATGCAGAAAATAAATGCTCAATAATTAGAAATAGCCTTATAATGAAGGTTACTATGTAAACTTAGGTTTAGTGCTTACACTTGATGAGTATGTAATCAGATCATAAAAACCAGTTGGTTTTTTCTCCTTGTGATAATGGTGGCATGATTCTATACATGGATGTGTGAATGTGAAAAATAACTATTTTAGTGAATAAACATTTCAGGCGCACCTTACCATCCATCTGGAGATATTTAGAGGGGGTGAATGCAGTTACGGGTCCTTTAAGGAAATTTATTAATTCCCTTTAATGGAGCCGGATATACAGTTCCTTTTCCAGGCATCCGTACATTTCCTCAAGAAATTGCGAGGAGTTCTAGAATGTAACTGAAGTAGTTCCTGTGTGATCAATAGTTAGGTTGGGTCAGGCTTCACATGGTTCTTTTCTTTTTGAGAGAGAGTACTAACTTCAGCAATGTTTCCAATTGCAGGAGTAGGGAATTAGAACCTTCTCAGCCAGATGAACTGCAGGAGTCCACTCCAAATACACACAGGAAATTAGGAAATAAGGAAGTTAGTAGGCAGTAATTTGGTGGTCGGAAAACATCCAGACTCTGGTGAATGTGGCTGGTGGCTGTTTTCACTATGTGGACTCTGGGCTATCCAAGAATCCAGAAGGTCCCTTCAGCTGCTGCAAACCATTTCTCCTAAGACCAAAGTGCAGGTAAGACTGGGAATCCTTCTACTGCTCTTCTTGCACATGGACAAAGATGGTGGCTGGTGAGAGCTGAATTGTAGTCTTTCTTTTGCCAGATATGCCATCCGATTTACAGAAATTACTTTGGCCTAGTTTACCGTTAGAAAAAGGTGGTTTTCTCATGCGCTGGAAGTTTAGCGTAAACAAAGACCATTGTCATTCTAACATTGTAGCAAGGTAGCATAATGCCTCCATTTCCTGATACAAGGGCATTGAGCAACATCATCTAAGTAGGATTTTAAGATATGGTAAAAATACCCTTTGTAACCCTTAGTATTTCTGCAGAACTGAGGCAGACTTTCCTCGTTTTCCTGGCTGAGATCTGAAGACCCAGTTTTCAGATATTTCTGACTGATAATTAAATGTGTGGTGAAGTGGTCTTGCTCTATTTTAATAGATTATAAATTCTGTTAGGCAAATTCTTTATGTGCTGCTTGGTATTAATATTAAACTTTGCTGTAAAATACTTAGTCCCTGTTGATAGACATGTAGAGAGATGAGTAAAACAAAACGAAAAAGTTTTTTCCTAAATATTTTTTCATATAATGACCATTTAAAAATAATTTTATTATAAAACAATACTTTTTCATACAGCTTGTCTCATAGAGCTGCTATTTTAAAATGCAGCAATTTCAAATTCTTTAGTTTGAACAGCAAGAGGTCTAAACTTAATGTGTTTTGAATATGTTTTTTTTTTATTTATTTTGTTTTAGTAATGCAGAAACCCCTGGGTTTTGTCATTATGAGATGAAAGAATAACTGTCTCAAGCCTATGGTCCTAATACATGCAGTTCATGCAACAGTAAAATAAAAAGAGCAGTCACAGAATCACAGAACAGCAGGCGTTGGAAGGGACCTCTGGAGATCATCTGGTCCAACCTCCCTGCTAAAACAGGTTCACCTACAGCAGGTCACACAGGTCCTTCCAGTGAATTAAAGTGATCAAATGACCAAAGATATGTAGCATGAAAAACCTCGTTCAGCAGAGACAGAAAGTGATGCATCAATACGATTGCTAAGTAGATTTGGTAATTTAGGTTTCAAAAATTGTTTCCCATAGTGGTCCATCGTTCACCTTGTATAAGTAAATTGTGTTCCTCAAGGGTCGGTGCTGGAACTGGTGCCATTTAACATCTTTGTTGGTGACACGGACAGTGGGGTTGAGTGCACCATCAGCAAGTTTGCCAACACCACCAAGCTGCGCAGTGCAGTTGACAGCTGGAGGGAAGGGAGGCCATCCAGAGGGACCTGGATAGGCTGGAGAGGTGGGCCCATGCAACCCTCATGAAGTTCAACAAGGCCAAGTGCAAGGTCCTGCACCTGGGTTGGGGCAATCCCAAGCACAGATACAGGCTGGGCGACGAGTGGATCGAGAGCAGCTCTGGGTAGAAGGACTTGGAGGTGCTGGTAGATGAAAAACTGGGTATGAGCCGGCAACGTGCGCTTGCAGCCAATTTTGATGCAGCCAATCGCATCCTGGGCTGCATCAAAAGCAGCGTGGCCAGCAGGTTGAGGGAGGTGATTCTCCCCCTCTACTCCAATCCAGTGAGACCCCACCTGTGGTGCTGCGTTCAGCTCTGGGGCCTGCAGCATAAGATGGACATAGATGTGTTAAAGCAGTTCCAGAGGACAGCCACAAAGATGATCAGGGGGCTGGAGCACCTCCCCAGTGAGGACAGGCTGAGAGAGTTGGTGTTGTTCAGCCTGGAGAAGAGAAGAATCCGGGGAGATCTTATAGTGGCCAAAGAACCTCCCATATTTCCTTTAGCAAAAAAAAGGTGTCCCTGCCCATGGCAGGGGGGTTGGAACTAGGTGATCTTTAGGGTTCCCTCCAACCTAAACCATTCTATCATTCTGTGAATTAAAGAATGTAGGATATGTCACTATGCAAAGCAGAGACAGAGCTAAGAAGGTAAGGAACCATTGATCTTACATGAATAAAGGAGTTGCTACTTTCTCTCTTGGACACAGCAGCCTTGTACATAGCCATTCTTTCTTTCAAGGAAACAGTCTCCTGGAAATCCAGCAGTGTGTTATCAGCCCTGGGAGTGCTCTCTTTAGGTAGTCCTCTTACAAGTTTGCGAGAACCTACTGTAAGTACAAACAGACATCATATTTTCTAAAAAGGAAACAGGTACCTTTTTTCCAAACCTTGAAAGAAAAGAAGTGGAAAGGAGCAGTATTATCAACTTTTTAGTATGTTATTTTCAATTTAGAACTTACTGAGTACAGAAAAATTTAATTCAATGAAGTTTTTGAAACTGGGGAAAATTTCTCAGGTTAATAAAAAAAAGCTTTTTAAAGAAAACCCGTACAATTTTAACAGCAAATATAGTGTATTTTTCTTTGTAGTGTTACATTTGCATTATTTTATACTGTAAAAAGTCATTGTAAGTACTCCAAATAACCTATTATAATTATTCTGATTAGTTATTTTTAGCTTTATATATATAAAAGTTCCAATTAGCTTTATACATTATAATATTCATTGGCTTAACAGAGTCTGTTCTGAGTTGATTGTAGATTTCATTTGTTTACTGAAATTGCATTAGAGTATGTTTTAGTCTGTTTAGTACTACTAAAACCTTATTGAAAATTATCTAAATTACTAACTACATTTTAACCTTATTTCAGGGTGTGACGGTTATAGACTTATCTGTAAGCATCTGCAATTCAGCCACATTGAATGTAGAGGCAACAGTTCAGAGTACTCCTGAAAGACCAGCACCAAGTTACTAGCACTAGGAAGTTTTTTGTTGCTGCTTTCTACATTCATATGATTATATTAGAAGAATTCTGTATACCCAGAAAAGTGCCTTAAATTTAGCATAGAGATGTTTGTCCTTCTTGATTCAAAGGGAAAAAAAGTATGTTGTGAGCATCTCTCTTGTCTGTGATCAGAGGCAGAAGAGATTTTGCATAATCTCACAGGCTGGAAATTCCCCTTGTGCTGCCAAGGTTTTTCTACAGTGAAAAATTGGGTTGAATGGCACTGGATTTCTGTAACCAGGACACTCCCTTCCTTTTTGGGAGAGGAGGGAATTTTAAGGCTTCAAGAAGATATATTTTTAGTAAAGCCACCAGAATCTAATTTATTAATACTTGTGCTTGTGCTGCAGATATCAGAGCACCCTGATCTTCCCCAAGTCCATCTATATTTCTTCTTGTCCTTACCTAATAGGACAGAATAAATTTGTTACAGCCTGCACTGCTTTTTTTTTAAACAACT